GGGGCGGCGCCGCCGCGCGGACTGGACTCTGCCCGCGCGCGGAATGGACTGCGCTGGAGCCGCGGCGCAGCGTGGATTGCGCTGGGACGGAGCGGACTGCGCTGGAGCGGCCTGGAGTGGAATGGGCTGGAATGGAAAAAAACGGAATGGAGCCGCCTGGAATGGATTTGACTGGCATGGAATGGAATGGAAAAGAACGGAACGGAACACCCCCCTGGAATTGATTTGACTGGCACAGAATGGAAAAGAATGGAATGGACTCTCCTGGAATGGGCTGGATTGGCACGGAAGGGACTGCACTAGCATGGGATGGAGCAACATGGAATAGACCAGCATGGAGAGGACTCAGCTCTCAGGGAAATGAATTGCACTTGCATGGATGGAACGGCATGGAATGGACTTTTCTGGAGTGGGATGGACTGGAGCAGCATGGAAGGAATTGGCATGGAATGGAATACACTGGATTTATATGCAATGGAGTGGCTTGGAATAAGAGAGATGGGAATGGAATGAACCAGCATGGAATGGACTTGCATGGAATGAGGCAGCCCAGCAYAGAAGGGCACTGAGTAATGCAGAATGGCACAAAAAAGTGCATCCCAGCACAGCTCRGTTCATCCCGGCATGGGACGGAGCCTTTGGATTGCTCTTGGATCCCATGCTCCTTGCACTCCTTAGTACACAAGGGATGCAAAAAAACCTGGGAAGGCTCCGGAGCAGTCCGTGCCCACAGGAGGGGCTCAGCCCGTAATGCCCCCGCAGCCCCCTGAGCAGCAGCGCTCCCGGCGAGGAGGGGGTGTCCGCGCCCCCCCTCAGTGCCGCCCTTTGCTTTTTTTAGCAGAAAATCCCTCCTGGCTGCAGAGCTGCTCCCAGAAGGGGCGGCGCGGGATTTGGCAGCCAAACAAACCAAACAACCGGCACCAGCCCCGTTGTCATCTGGCTCACAGCCCTGCACGTTGCCCCCGGCCCCACCTCTTCCCTGCAGGCTGCTTGGTTTCTTTTCCCCTCCCTCTTGACCAGATTTCTTCTCCCCATAAAGGAAGCAGGTTCTGTAGTTTCCCTGATCGGATGCTGCTCTGGCACYGCCACCTTAATAGAGGGTTTGGCTGCAGGACTTGGTGCTGGGAAATGCCAGGCACGTGAGTCCTCCTGGCTGCTCCCGAGCTTCTTCCAGCAGCCACTTTGGAGTCTCTTAGTCATTCTCCTAGTTCGWGTTGGCTGCAGCTTAAAAAGCCCTGGCTTTGGGCTGGAAGCAAAGGTACGACCTGCTCTGAATCACACACCAGGCTCTGCCCTGGGCCCATTTTACTGCAGGAGAACCAAAGGAAAGGGAGCAGGATGGAGATCAATAGGATTAAGCACCAGAGACTTGCCACAGAAAATCCTTCCTCCTGCAGCTGGAGTTCCACAGGGAAGGAGCTTCCACAGGGAAGCTGCTTCCACGAGGAGTCCACRATGCTATTATCGAGCAGATATCGAGCTTCCCAAAGGGAAACCTTCCCAGAAACCGGACTCRCGCCCCTTCGACGGGAGGAGGAGTTTTGCCTAGAGGGGCAGAAAGGTCTGTGTCCCTCCTTGGAGTTGTTATGTAATTTTTAAAACRTATTATGGCTCACTGAGCTTATGAATGTGCCATTTCGTACCTCTCACGTGCTGGGTATCCCTGATGAGTTTCACAGCCATTAATGACTTGCTTTAATTAACACTGAATTAGTATTAACTAAGCCTGGAATCACAAGTGTACTATTATGTTCTCCTCAAAAATGGGTCACTATCGCAAAGAAAATCTACGTTGCTTGCCCAGGGCCACCCCAGGAGTCCATCCCAGAGCAGAAAATAAAATTTCTCAATCGTGCTTTGGCACTTGGAGCTAACGGTGAGATGCGACCTGCAACTTCCCAAGCTCATGGGACTGGCTGAACCATCATCTCCGCTTTCTGGGCTGGTCCCTCCTACCTTCAGTGGCTCTCAAGTTCACCATGGCTCTGGAGCTGGCTGCTGAGAAGCACGAGGTGAGGGGAGGGCATCGTCCCTAAGGAGCTCGCAGCCCTCTCCAGGTCTGCGGTGCTCCCAGGTTTCTGGATATTTGTCCCTCGTCCATCAGCTGGCGCAAGAAGCTGCCTACAGAGAGGGTTTCCTGTGGGAATGAAGCCGGGTTCTTCCTGGGTTCTCCCATCTTTTACAGCCCCACTTGGCTGGGTTGTTCTTCTAAGATCAGTGATGCCGATTTCAGGTTAATAAATCCGCAACTGGCCTGTTGCAACCAGCTGCACCRTGTCCTCCCTGGGCGAGCGGCGCTGGGCAGCTCGGAGCCTGCGAGGTCATGGGCTACTTGATCCCTGACTCGTTCCCGCTTCTCAGGCTTCTCCAGCTTCTCCATGTATCCACTCAGCAAACACGCAGGAATCTTGGTCCTTGCCAACAGAGAGACAAATATTGAGAAAAGAAGGAAGGAATGTGAAAGGAGGAAGGGGAAGAAGGCATAAGTGCCTAAGGAGGAATGGCATTGAGGAAGAAAGGTTTAAAAAGCAGAGGTTGGAGGAGAGATGGTGGAATTGGAAAGGTGGAAGGATGAGAGAAAATTATTTTCAGACATGCAGCATCAAAGGTTCAAATGGAAAAACATGGGAAAGATTAAACCTTTCAGGATGCCACAAAGTCCATTAGTGAGAAAAGAATGAGGTTGCAAATGTGTTCTTCACCTCCCTCCTCTTAAAGCATAAAGGTAAAATAAAGAAAAATATCCCAAGAAGCTGGTAGAGGGGAGCACCACRGGGAAAGTGGCTTTTTCTCGCCTGTCCTCCCTGTGTCCCACTCTGTTCCTCCTGYCTAAAGGGCGATCGGGTCCTGAGCAGGGAGAGCTGAGAGTGGGGAGGGCCACAAGGCTGTGACCTTCTTCCCCCTTCTGAAACCCTCCCCAGACCTTCTTGKTAACATGTGGCCCCTCTCTGTGGTGCTTTGTTTTAAAACTTTGTTAGTGCCTGGCAGCCCAACCCACGCATGCTGAAATTATGAAATTATGGGGACAATTTAAGATAGTCTGAAGAGGCAAGTTCGCAACCAACAGCACAAGGAATAGCACCCCCCCCCAAAAAAAAAAAAAAARAAWGGCCTTTTTCCTGCATGAGCAAGTCTGTCCAAACAGCAACCTCAGACTAGCTTCAGGGCTCTGATAACCCACAGATCATTCAAAAGCTATCGAATACTTACAAAGATATATAAAAAATGAATATATGTCTGTAGTAAAATCGAGTCATCATGTTACATTAAACAAGGAAAACACAGATGTGTCAGCAAGTGTCTTCAGTTTGAATACAAAAAGGTTTGCAAATATCTGCACTTTGAAAGACATTTTAATAAAAGTTGGTTGAAACTCTTCTGGAAAGTTTCCTTTTTGCAGATTCTGAGGAATGCCTGCACAGCATTCATGCCATAATAATACAGTATTGTGCTATGGAGAACGTACAGTGCTTATATTAAAAAAAATAACTTTGATTTGGATCAATCATTTTGTCAAAGAAAATCCAATAAGGAGAAAGGAGGCTTTAAAATATTGTAGTTCTTCTATTTGCTAGTGAAATATTTTGAGCACAACAGGGGAGAGGCACCTGCTAATTAGTTACAAACGCCCTTAGAAAATGTTTTGAAGTGCAGTCTAGAACAAGTRAAAATGTCATAAACGTTCTTGCGTGCTAGATATGAGTCTCCTTCTCAAGGGATGAGTTTCTGCTAGTGTCACAGAAGACCTTGCTAGAATATCCTCTATTTTTTCTTGGTTTGCTCTCTCTGCTGCCAGGGCTGATTCATATTCTCGCTGCTTCTCTTCCTCCTCGGCATTACGGGCTTGTTGTTGATAGGCAATCTGAGCCTTGAGTTGCTCTTGGTATTCTTTTGCTTCCTTTACTTTTCTGGAAATGACATACAAATAACTTATTTATGAGGTACGCGTTAAAAATAAATAGCTCGGGTTTTTATCTGTTAACGTGCAACCTTAGACTGAAAAACTATCCAAAACACCTGCTAGGGGTTAACAGTAACTGCTACTCTATTAAACAAATGCGACATCGGTAATTAACCTGAAGTTCTCTGGAGCATGAATTGCATTCACTGACGAAGCAGACTGCAAAACCAGTGCTTAACAAAGCAGGAGAGCAGGAGGAACCCCTTGGAATCAGGATGTTTTCTCTGCCGCGCGAGGGGCGAGGAGAAGACAGAGAGCGAGTAGGGTGGGTTTGCGCCCTGCCCTAGCCGTGCCTCACTGCTGTGGCATCCTCACACCCTGTGTCCCCTCCCTCGCTCCGGAGATAAGGCGCTTCCGACAGGGAAGGCGGCCGGCCGGCTCTCGCGCGCTGCTCATACGCGAGGAAAAGGCTGTCACAAGGAATCATCCTTCCACCGCCGGCACGTATCACTTGTGCTGCGCGCTGGAGCGGCAGGGGAAGCCTCCCTACGTGCTCAGGCGCTTTGGGAGCAGAAACCACTCGATGCTTTGGCACCAGCAGCCCAGTGGCAGCTTGTGTGATAACACGACAGGAGCTGAGCCGCGTGGCGCCTGCTGAGCCGCCCGGTGCCATCCTTGCTACAACGGGAAGCGAATCCAAAGCCAAGTCCTGCACGTTTACTTCTAAGGGGTGAGATTTGTGCCCTGTCTACCAGATTGCTGCTGATAAAACTATTGAAGATGCGCCAGATACAAGCTCTGGAAGCAGCTTCGTCTTTACCTCCGGCTTGCACAGGCTGACAAGGAGCACAAGTTCCCAAAGGCCTTTGGATGGGTGAAATGAAGGTGCTTTGCCCTAGGTCTGTCATGACACCCAGAGGTCTGTTTCAGCTACTGCGAATAACAATATTCTTGCCTGGAGGAACAGCAAGGCAAAAGCAACCCGTGGTCCGGGTGATATTTCGGTGGCTCACTGTGTATTGTTCCAGGGAGGTGCATGGGTGGAGTTTAGCACTAAGCTCCAATGCCCAAATTCCCCTAGGGAAGTAGTGAGCTAACCTTTCATTACACCCTCCTCCCCAACCTCGGCCACTCCTAATAACAGCTCAGAGTTGCAAAGAATGTGTTTACAAAACACGATCAGTTTAAATCACGTGATGGTCCAAAGAGCCCCAAACAAGTCTATGCAACGAAACACCATTATTTGTACAATGAAATCACAATCAGTAATCTAATACCAACTGCAGTATAATTGGGCTGCTACTAAGCAGTTTGGAGATGTTAGGTTCCGTAGCAGAGCCTCTCTGTACAGAAGAGAGGCTCTGGCCAAGTGCTCTCTTGCACAGTTAGTTGAAAAGGAGAATTAGCCTTCCTGGATGTTTAAAAGGTTGGCCTGCAATGAAAGGAACCTGCAGCGTAAAAGAAAAATACCTTGCATATTTTTCTTCTTCTATACGTTGGAGTTCTGCAATTGCCTCAGCAAATAGTTTCCTTTCCTGGGCAAGCTCTTCCTGCTCCTTTGCACTTCTCTCCGCTGCACAAAATAATTAAAAACAAAACACTTTTAGGAGATGCTTGCTTACTTAGCCCTGATAAGCTTGAAGGGACAGACTGTATTCAAGCCAAGTGGCCTAAATAGCAAACCCAAGCTTTGTTGTTTCTGGAGAGGCACACAAACAATAGGAAGGATATTCTTAGCCCTTCTCAGCCTATTTGTTTTCCACTGCTAGGAAAAGACTTCACATTCAGAACTGCATAATAGTAATAATAACGTAATTAATAATAATGATTGCATGCTAAAGCAGTCCTTATTTGACTGGGCTTTGTTCTGCTGATAGTAATGAGAAATCCATGTAAGGGCTGCTCATGGGAGCAAACTTGCAGCAGTGGATTCAGAGACAAAAGCTCTGTTGTACATTACTCACCGAGGCAGCCCGTGCCCCCTCTGCCCCACGCCTGGCACTCACACAGCAAGAGCCCCGCTCGGTGCACTGGCAGGGAGCTGCTCCTACTTACACTTCTCCTCGATTTGCAGTTGCCTCGTGTCCAGGACATCTTTCAGCAGCTGTTTTCTGGCCTCTTTTTCCAAGCGCAGTTGCTCGGCCTTCTTGGCCCAAGCCTTCTCCATCTCTTCCTTGAGGAGCTTGTCCGCTTCCTTCTCTCGCTGTTTCTCCTGCTCCAGCTGCTGTGCCAGGTGTGCCAGGTAAGTCTGCTGCTCGCTGAATAGCTCTTGCTGCAAACACACACACAGCTGCAGATCTGAGTGAACAAGCTCAGCCAGGCAGCTCAAAAGAGCCATGGGAAATGCTGACTTGGGGTCAAGATGGGAACCGGGGCTGGGACAGAGACCTCTGTTCAGAGAGCACTGTTGTGCAAAGAGCTGTGCAAAATCCGTGCCCTGGATAACAGCCGATGCCTGTTATCACAACACTTGTGCCTGTTAGCACAAGAGCCACATACAGTGACAGAGAGTTGAGCTTTCCTAGCAGTTGGCCTGGCTGCAGCACAGGAATTGGGCACACGTTTTCCACAGCTCTTCAGCCAACTTCATCTCATCTACATGGGAAGCCGTGGGAGACAATGGAGTTTTGAAAATCAGCTCTGCTAATTTTTTCGCAAGGTCTCAGCACCTGGTGATTATGGAAGAAGCTGACACCATTTTTGTAACCTACAAGAATTCCTAAATAACTGAGCAGAATAAGGAATGCAGCTCCCTGCTCTTAAATGTACCTTGAAATCTGTTTTTACTCCAACATTGGGCAACCGATTTGTTTTAAATCTAAGAACAGACACATCCCTGTTTTCATTTCCAAGATGTTTCATGCCAGGTTGTGTGCCTAACCTGAAGAAAGTAGCTGCAGACTTTGCCAGGGGAATCTTTTCTGCCAGGTATAAATAAGGGCAGGGTTATAGCTGTTAATGAAAACCAGTCTGCTTAAAAAACAAGGTATATTTTTTAAAAGTAAAAATATAACCAAGCTCCCCTTCTTTTCTGTGTGAAAATGTTCTTAATGTTCTTAACTTCTTTTACAAATCTAATTTCTTAATTTCTTTAACAAAAATGATCACCAAGAAGTACCACATGAAATGAGGCAATAGTTGCTTGTGATCTTTTTGTAGCTATATAAAAACCTGAATTCAAGTCATGCTGTGACATGCACAAGCTTCGCACTCTTCAGCTACAATTCTATCTAGTTAGTAAAGATTTAAAACTGTTTCTTAGCATTTTCATGCATTAGAGGAGATTAAATATTTACTTGCCTCTGCAGTTACAAATATTTAATATATTAGGTCCATGAAACAGAAGACCTTTGCCTATCGCCATTACTCACAGTAAAAAAGCCCCCGAAAGTCGAGTAATTCACACACAATAAAAACCACACAGAGGTCAAGGTCCAGGATTACCTGGGAGCCTCTCTGTCGGTCTAACCTCACCACCTTGAGGATGAAGATCAAGCTTTAAGGTACTCACGGTGACTGCCAGGGATAGCAGGCTTCTTCAGAGGGGCAGTGCTGGCAGGAGGCAGCGCAACACAGGAATCCTCTTGCTCAGAGGATTTCATCTATACTGCCCAATTCCACTAACAGCCAGCAAATTAGTCCAGAGGCATCGCCCCAAACTTCCAAATGAACATCTCTTGCCCTTACTTTTCTTTTCCTTATCTCCTCAGCACCTCCCTGGGATTCCTGAAGAGTTTTTTCTAGGATCTTCATATCCAGAGCGAGCTCCTCCTGCTTTTCTTCACCAAGACGCTTCATCTTGTCCTGCACGGCACTGACCAACGTGTCCCTGCACTCCTTCTGCTTCCGCAGTTTCTCCATCTGAAGACGTTCATTTTCTAGTTTAAGCTGTTGCTTTTCTTCTTCCTGCAACAATAAAAAACAGACAGCTTGCAAAACATCGTGTAACTTAAAATAAGTCGGCTTCACTTAATTGGATCACAGAAGAGGGAAGATAAGTGTTCAAAGCCTTTCTTGCTGACATTACAGGATTTTGGAAGTTTCAGTGTTCCTTCAGTGTTATCTGTTAGGGCTGTTAAAGCATGAACATTTCAGCATAACATCCAGTCAAATTCAGGATTTCCTCTTTTATTATCACACCTGCTTCCTACCAAAATACTGGAGTGCCTGACACTAAATAATTCAAGTGGATAGATAGTCATCTCTTTAGAGAAATTAATAGAACTGCACCTCATAGGATGCATTTCCAACCCTTACACAAAGCCATAACCGAGAACCAGTAGTGGAGCCACGTTCTCCTCCCTGCAACTGTGCACAATGTATGTGCTGTGCATGTTAATGGATGTTACAGATATATCTAAATATAGGCACACCAGATTATTGATTCTGCATGCTATTTTTTTGCTTAAATAAAGTAACTTCGTAGAATTCCTGAACATCCTGCCTTTGAATGAGTTTACAAGCACAACTGCACTTAAACATCATTGTAACGCAGCATGGGGCCACCATTAAGCACCTACAGGTCTCAGAAAACACATCCAGTTTTCCTTAGGGTGCATGCTGGGTTTTGTTAACCTCATTTTAAAAAAAAATGGCTTTTTCATAACATGAATAAATCTTCTAAAATGCATCAGCAGGTTTGCATTGACAGCTTTTCTAATCTTTTCCATATGGAAGGACAAGCTGTGCTTCCTACAGAACACAACTTGCTCTCCTGAACATAAAACTCCCACCCTGACTCTTGCAGGGGTTCAAAGCCAATGCTCTCACTGCCGCCTTCCCAGGGCAGTGACAAGGGCTCTGTCTGAAAGGCCACAATCACCTCCAGAAGCTGATAAAACAGCTTTGAAACTCACTGCATTTTGAGCCACGGAATAAGTAATCCAAAAGACTATGAAGTGTAAAGAAGGTGGAAATGGGTGGCAATTCCTGAGGAAGCTGGCAACATGGCTTATGTGTCTCTGGCCGATTCCCGACATCAGTGGAGTCATATGGGAGTTACTAAGGGTGGGATCCATGGTGCTTCTGCTATCAAAGTTTATATGATGCGTTAATACGATGCTGTAAAAGTACAAGGAAATTGTTACTGCTGATCCTTCTGCAAGTCAAGACTGAAATGCCAGGAAGGCGAGTTTTCTTCTGAAAAATGAGGGCCAAGTCCAAGCCAGCAGACTGCCATAACTCACTAAGTCAACACAGAATACTGTGAATTAGGAAGCTCCAGCAGTTATTGCAACTAAGCCAAGCCTATGCTACAGGAGGATGAGAAAAGAGGAGGGCAGTGCCTAAATCTGAGCTAAATGAGTCAAGTATTTCCCATGAGGTGGCACCCACCAGCTCTAACAGGTGAAAGAACTTCCACATTGCTTGCCAATGTGTATCTGTTAAAGCCTGAGCTTTCAAAATGGGTGTAGATTCTGAAATTCAGTCAGCTGGAGTGTCTACACCTGCAAAAGCTAGTGCCTACACTAGTGCCCACAGAGGGGTGTAAGGGGGGCACCTAACTGTGAAAAAGGATCAACTGGGAGAGAGCAGGGTGAGGATGAGCTGGGAGACGTTRCCCAGGGGCTTGTGGTTCAGCTCAGCAGCTTGACCCAAGATCTGGGGCACAAAATCCTCCAGCTACCCCACTGCAAGTCAGAAAATTTGAAAGATAACTGGCAAAAGGGGAAAAACACTTCAGCTTCCTGCAAGGGCTCCCCAAAGCTCTGAATGCTACAACACGTTAAATTTCAGGAGATCTATTTCCCCTCTGCAAACAGGAGTGCATTTGCCACGGCTCTGGGAAAGCGGCTTAGCGTAACAAGCGAGTCTCGGATCCTAATGGAATCAGTGAAAATACAAATAAGGTCGGGATTTATCTACATGTCTCGTAAGCCTGGCATTAGGAGGGCCTTTCGGCTGATCTGAGAGCGAGATGGAAGTTACCAGCGCACGGGCCTCCTCTTCCTTCAGCCGCTTCGCCTCCTCTCTGCGGGCGCCCAGCACCGCTACCTGGGCGCCCAGCAAGCTCAGCAATTCCCGATGCTGCTCCGCTGCTTTCTGCATCTCCGCCGCCTCCTGCTGCTCCTTGGCCAAGCGGTCCTCTTCCCAGAGCCTGGCGAACATTTGCTCCTCCTGCTGCTGCTGCTTTTTCAGCTCCTCCTTGAGCGCCAGCTGGGCCAGCCGGTCTGCGCACACCTCCYGCTGGTGCTTCTGCGCCCGCCGCGTGCGCAGCTCCTCGCACTGCTCTCTGCAGGGCAAAAGGAGGAGAAAATAATAATAAATTAAATAGCAATCAAGTCTAGTTGGAGGTAGGTGGACCTCAGCTCATAACCACAGATGAGACTGCAGCTCAGGACGTCGGTCGATGTCTACACCTGGTCYGACACTGACTCCACAGGAAGCAGCCACAAAAAGCCCATTTTAATGTTGATTTTGACATAAATCTGTTGAAGAGCAGGTCCTGTATTTCCATTTGTGTTAAATATATAACACAACGCACATTACAACAGTTGAATTGTTCTTTATGCAAAGAAAACTTATGTTAGGTTTACCAGCTACTCAAATGTACAGTCACATTCAGAAGCTATTCTGAAAGCAGAAATTTATGTTACATTGTTAAACAGAACACTAGAATTTTATTAATTCTGCATGAAGTTTTGTGGGATAATTCATAAATATTGCAATAAAACCCTGGAAAAACTAGTAATTCATAGAACAAATAATATAGCTTTTAGTTTTCATTTATTTCCTACAAGGGAATCACATGGATGTTAATATTTACCTTCAGCTGAAAGACATGCAAGTATTTACGGATCTATCTGCCTTCATTTTTACAAAGTGCTGTGGAGATGAATGTGTGCAATCAAATAAAATTTAATTCAAACAGCATGCAAGCATTTTAATCCAATTCTATAAAGAAGATACAGGTTTTCATAAAGTGAAAATGTAAAAGGAACTGGTAACAGGGCATACCTATAGACATTACAGATGTGTAATAAGTATACATGCATACTGTGAAGTAAAATAATAATAATAATAATCTCACATTATTTCATGCTGAATGAAACCATCTTCTGTGAATTGTTGCAACTGTTTAAAAATTCATAGCAGGCATCGTAAGAAATCATTGACCAACTGTGGAACCACTGTATGACAGCAGTAGTTCTTTGTATAATGTGAGATATTTTTACATTATGCAATGTTAATCTGACAGTGGTATAGAGCAAAAAATATTAAATATTCATCAAGCAACTATCTCATAATATTATAGTTCTCAACATCAGCTTGGTTATTTAATTCTTGTAACTACAATAAAACAAGTCTGAATAAATTCCATTACCCTTTTCTTTTTTTAAACTTAAAAGCAAAATCATTTTTTCTAGCACCGCAATAAGACTTTCAGCGTTGGACTTTTTCATGTTCCACAGCTCTGCTCAGGTTCTGTCTTTGCAGTCCACGAGCTCCTGCGCTGCAGTCAAGCACAAACCACGGTACTGACTCCTCTGCAGGGTGGCAGCAAGTCCCTAAACACATATGGGAATTTAGGGCCTCCCTGAGCCTCTGCACACATTATTTAATTATTACATTTAGGAAGGCAGCCTTCCCATCAAAGCAGACTGATTAGGTCAGGCCATAGTTTCCTTGCTCTTTTCCTCAACTTTTGCAAGACTCCTATCCCTCAAAGAAGGGCAATGAGGCAAATGTTTAGCAAAACAGGACGAGATTTGATGTGTAACTCATTTCTGGTCTAACTAGCACCAAGATTTTGTTAGGGACTAGCAGGTTCTTTATCAAATGCTGCTGCTTCACCACCTCCAATTGCCCTCTTGCTAGCAGGCACAGGAGGAGCCCAGCTCCTGGCCTCATCAGCCCTTGTATCAACCACCTCTTAATGTCTAAGGGTTATAGGTTGGCTTACAGGACCGTCCCAAGCTTTAGCATTAAACTCCATGGTAAGCTAGCCACATAAAAATAAGTTAAAGCCTATGAACTGGAGCATTTCCCCAAATAACCCTCCTGCAGTGCAGAAGAGGCTGCTGGCAGCCAGGCAAAGCGACAGCGCTGAGATCCAGCCTGGCCCTGCTCTTGGTGTCACCGTGGGATACCCAACCGGCCAACTTACCAAGAGGGGCAAAAGCAGAGCTGGGATCATGGTGGGGAGAGTTGCTGCACCTTGATGTCTATGAGGGAGTGAGACTGGGCCAAACAGCACCAGCCAGGACCTGTTTCATGGGAAAGCGAAGTTCTCACYGTGCTCTCCTGTCAGCATCCGCTGTTTTCCGGCCTGTGGTTCTGTTCTCCAGCCCATGGTTCTGTTCTMTGGCCCACGGTTCTGCCACAGGCTGCTGGAGCCAGTGGCACCTCTGTCTTCATCCACTATGTGTAAAGCACCCAGTTCCCTGGATGCTGGGGTGAAAAGCACTAAGCTCAATACATGAGCAATAAAAAGGGGAGCGGTGCCATGCAAGCAAAACTCACATTTTGCTCAATATCCAGAAGGCATTTCTAACCTCCTAAACTGTTTCTAACTGAAATTTTATATATATATATATATATATAAAAATATATATATAGTAACTTGTCACATTCAATTTCACCAATATCAAACTCCAAAGGATAAAACCTCTCATAGACAGCACTTTTCTCCCCCATTCCAAGCACGCTGCTTCTTATAATCAAAAGTTGGCCCAGCTTCTGGGTAGAAGTTAATGGTGACTAGCGACAGCGCCATTAATTAGCATTCATGAAAAATATAATCATCTAAAATGTTCTGAGGAAAATGTACATTTTTCAGATTGGAGGTCTCACACCATTAGGAATAACTATATTACCTTAACACAATGGGTTCAAAGTTCCTTCAGCAGTGGAGCGAATAAAAGAAATCAGTTATTTCTCATAATGTTAAGCTAACCTCAAGGCAATTGAATTCTCAGAGGGAAAGAAGTTAAATGAATAAGAGTTTGGCACAGTTTGAATTTTAATATAGAATAACTCTGTAATTGCTTGATTTCATCAAAATAATTCCTTCCAAGCAGCTTTTAAAGCAATCTATAAACATCTGCTTCCCCAGATGGCTGTTTCCACTCCTCCTTTGCAAATCTAAGCTTCTTAGCATTCAAACTCTGGCCTCCATGTAGTCACTTCCCAAAGACAGAAACTACATTTACCCCCAGTTATTTATTTGCTTTAGAGCTGTGGTATGAAGCTGCTGGGATAACAACATTCTCTATAGAGAGGCGTCTGATGTTATCACAATAAAGAGGCCGCACTATGATTTTCATGCACGCTCTAAGRTGCTGCAATTTTCTTCACATACATCATTAGGAGACATTCCCCTCAGACTAATACTGGGCAAATACTTTTCCAGACGAATTGTAGCCCTTCACAAAAAGGCTACAAATTCYGGCAGGACTCTGCTGATTCAAACGCTGTGCTCTGCATCTGCTCACATCGAGGGGCCTTTCTTGGCCAATTCTATACTGAATTCTATACATCYCCCTTGGTTTAAGCTGCAAATCCGCCCTACAAGGCTTGTAAAAATGCTGCCTCTTGAGTATCCTGGAGTGTTGTACACTATATATGTATTCCTAGACCTCAGGTTTAAGGATCAGTATCTGCAAAGGAACGTGTGGCTTGCTTCAAGTTAAAAGAAGTACAAAGTCTCTAACAGGTATTAGAGGGGTAGTCGACATAGCTGTAAAACTGTGAGACAGAGGAACAGAAAAACACGTGCACATCTCGCTGTTACTTAAAAGACACCCTGGGCTTCCCCTGGGGGTGCCCTAGGGCTGTGACACATCTACATCTTTCTCCTTGTGCATCCAGTTCTTCATCAAACTCCCATTCCATAAGTCACGGACATGCACCCACGATGCAAGTACTTCCCACTCCCCCTAATAACCCAAGCCTGTCAAAGACAGATGGCCAAGATGCAGATCTTCCCCTCCCGGCTCCCCCAAAACATTTCCTTAATCCTTACCTCATCTGGGAAGGAATTTCAACCATCTCCCCAGCACACATTCCCTCTGGCTTGGGCACAGCCTGCTCCAGGTGTCACTGGCAGCAGATAAATCACTGCCATGATGCTCAAGCACATAAGTGAAACAGGCCACCCCTTCCCCATGTCCAGACCCAAACCTTTTCATCCTCCAGAGCTTATTTCCAAGTAGTCCATCCAGCCCCAAGCTCTGTCTCTGCAGCAACAGCAGATGCCACTTAGGAAGAAGCCACAAAGTCTGTCACACTCGGGTCCTTTAYCTCATAGTTTCCCAACATCCAGAACTGTGGTATTGAGGATATTTGTGGCTCCATCGCATCCCTGTCTGTTCCCTTTACTATCTGTTCATGTTCTATAGTCCACAACACTGCCATTTTTGCATTTCTTTCCAATTAATCTAGCTCCAATATGCTGGCTGCAAAGAATGTACCGGGGGAGGAATTTCCCCTACATCTCCAACAGTGAAAACACCCAGACTTCATTTTCTGCTACCACCTKATCATCACCAAGTGCCTGCCACAGGATTCATTAAGAACTGTACAGCAATTGCTAAAAGTCTCATGGTTCCATCAAAATCCCTGAACTAGAACCATATTTTGGAGATTATCTTTTTTCCTCATGGGTTTTAAGACCAGTTTTCTACAAAGTGCTTATTGCAGCCATGAAGTCAAGCAATAGCAGAGGTTGGAAGGGACCTGTGCAGGTCATCCCACTCAAAGCAGGGCCATTATTTTTTTTTTACATTATGTAACTTGTGATAATGGGATTCAGTCTTTTGATGGATCTTATTTTAGATCAGAAAAAAATGGCAAATAAATCATCATGTTGAAAAAAGACTAGGGGGAAGGGATGCTTTGAAGAGTAAGCACACTCATTCAGAATAAACAACGTCTCAGGAAAGACAATCTGCTCATGTAATTAAAAGTACCACTGACATATTTAAAACTGCTTTAAACTAGTAGGTTTTAGCAAATACAAAGATGTAGAACAGCAGAGACTGTTATGACTCTGGATTATAATGAGCTTCCTTCCTTATAGGGACCTTTAAGTAAAATTTGACAGAACTTATATATAAGGAGAGAAGGAGTCAGGGAGAGGATGTGACTGTATTTACTTATTTCCATTACGTCAGTACAGACAAAGATGGTTCTCTGCACTCTAAGATGAGGATTCYCCTGCAGAAATACTCACCACGTATTGACAATTTCATAACAGCCATGAAGAAAAATGATTTGGTTGCATCTAAATCCTCTAAAAATTGCAGTTAACACCAACTGCAAAAGTTCCAGCAACATTTGCACATGGGTWAACCTGTGGCAGGAATATTACCTGTATCCAGCAACATCCTGGGAAAGGCAAGAGGATAATGGACTGATCCTGCAGGGTACTGAGTCAGACATCTCAAATAAGGCATCCAGAATAGCAATCTACAYGTAAGCCAAGCTGCTAAATTCCCTTTCTAGTGACTGGGGATCTGGGCGATACAGTCAAATAGACTTTAGGGTGCAGTTCAGCTGCTAGACCAACATATGTCTACCATAGACTGAGGAGCTTAACTGTCCYGAGCTCAGTGAAGATCTACAGAGTAGGAGAGGATTTTAGACACCTAGTGAATATAGAAATAGCAACATACAGACATAAACTTTTAAGTGCCTTAATCTCAAGCTGAACCCCTTCCTTGGTATGCAAGAGTGGCTGCAAGAACAAAGAGCACTCCAGAAATGTCTCCATTAGAGTATCTTAAAAGTGAATTTTAATTATTTGGAGTTGTGGGTAGTGAACAAGCTAGGACTGAAAATCTTCTTGAGGGCCACATTTTCAAGCCAGCATGAGAATTTAGAAATGTATATACTGTCTCAAAAAATCAGTCTCTGACAATAGAAAATACATTTAAGAAAGGGGCAGTAAGTAGCCAAAGTTTACGCGTAAGTGAAATGCAATACCCCAGCCTCTCCACTGTAAGAAATAAGTGCTGTGGATTTCCAAATCGTTGGAGGTTTGGGAAGCTCTCTTCAAATGATGAGAACTAAACTGCAWTAATAGTATTTGCATCTGTTCCTTGGAAAAACAGATTCCCAAGAACTGAACAAGTCAGACTTTATGCTGAGGCCTCAGGGCCTGTTAAGCACCTGCAAATCATAACAACTTCAAAGAAAATGCCAAGCTCAACATCCCAGAACTCATGGCTCAGAATTTCATTTAGCATTAAGACCTTAGCTTCAACTCTTGAACATTTTAGACAAAATTCAGCTTCCAAGAGCTATTTTTACTCTCAAAGTATACAGCAGAAATAGAGCTCTATGTTTAAACAGGAAGCTGTAAAGAACAGCTCATTTTGCAGGGAAAAGCACAGGGATATTCACACAGGACTAAGATCTACATAGTACATGTGGACGAATCTTTTTTTGTTACCTCAGCACTTAAATATGGAGAGAGGACAACTCCACGTACCCGTTGCATTCATCATTATTGATGAGGCATTTTGTCCACAAACTTAGCATTGCAGCTTTGCAAATTGGGATCCTGGGCCTCCAATGCTGCATTCCTTTAATAAACATTGGAAGGACTACAGYCTGGTCCCATGTGTGCAAACTACTCGAGACCTTCCAAGTTCTGGCAAACAGCCAAGTGGGCAAAGCTTGCACACTTCTATCCAAGCGCCCTTAATTCTGCATTTAACATTTCAATCATAAGGAACTTTTCTTCCTCAAGATATTGTTACCCGTTTGTTAAATTGCCTCTTTGCATTTACTTATCTAAATTCTATGTATTAAGAAATTTTATGGCGATACCTGAATTGCTGCTCTCGTTTTTCAGTAACGAGTTTCTGTCTTTCTTCTTCTCTCTTGTCTCTCAGCAATTTTGCTCGCTCTCTCATTTTTGCTTGTTTTTCCAGGATTGTTTCTTCAAGTGACTCCATCTCAGCAAAGTAGCCATTCTCCTCTGATTCCAGCAGTTCACGAAGCCTATGACAAAGAAAACATTTCAAAAAAACCCAAAACAACCTTTTCTGACAATTTTTAAGTCTTATTTATTTGAGAATGCAAACAGACTGAAGCGGTGCTCCATAGACACTGTCCAGAAGAAACTCTGTTAAACATTGAAAGAAAAAGTCTATTATATGTAATCAAGAGAAGCAGGTACCTTAACTGTTAATTTTCTTATGTGATGGCAAATCAGGATGTTGATGAGTCAGCACTTATACTCCATAGAGATCTATCTTGATTTTATGACAAATAAATAACTTAACATTTTCTTTGGAAACATTTTTTCTTTTCATTCAGCTTCATGAGACAAAGAAAACTTCTTTTTTTTTGGCTGAAATTATGYAGCTTTGCTTTGGATAGATCACTAATCATTTTGGGTTTTGATATTAGTCTAGCAATAAATAGCTATTAGTGCAACATATAGACACACAGATGTTTTTATATGAGAGGGGGGGAGGGGGGGAGGGGGAGAAGCATTTTTGTTGAGACTGCTGCTTCAAACATTAAGACAATTGAATTATGCTGGCACATTTTTATACTTTTTAAAGAAAGAGATCAGAAACATAATGTCAGGTTTCCTGTCTAGACTTTTAGGCTGAGAACTAAATAAAATTTGGGATTTAAATATCATATCACATCAGAAACTATGATCAAATTGATCAAGGCTAATACAATATAAATATGGTGGGGAAAAAAAAAAAAAAAAAAAAA